AAGACTAGAGGGAAGGCAGCTAGTCATCACCACCCACCGCCAACTCTTGGGCTACTCTTTTACCAACGAATAGTGGGATTGACCGTCACATTATAACGCCCCCACGGCAGCTGACACACTCTCGCTATTGACAATACTTTCGGGCGTAATCCCAAAATTAATTCTCTTGTTATTACTAAAACACGTTACTTCACTCAAAATTTGTCCGCCAGTGGCATAGCGGTATGTCTGCGGACTTACAACGCTAGAATCCGGGTTTCGATACCCCTGGTGGGCAGAGCACAGATAACCCATTGTGTAGCTTTGTGCTTAACTACAAACAAACAAACACTCAAAATTTAAGTAAGCCAATAATTTTGTACACATTTGAAAAGGATTATAGTAACACGACACACAAGTGCTTTAAAATATGACAACTGGACATTATGAAGGACATTATTTCGAGTTTTACACGTAATATTTCTGGGGTATCTTATGAAGCCTACATTGATGCCAACTGAAGTTTCAATACACAGCAAACGTACAGTTGAACAATTTCATTCGTCCAACTTCAAAACAAACTGGTCTGTTATTCTAAATGACACTGAGAACAAAATACTAACAATAGAATTTACGTAGAAACTTTTATTTTTTTAGACAGAAACTACAATTTGATCTGCCATTGCAGGCACACCACAATGCAGGACGGTCCAAAGGTTTGTTTGTTTGTTGAATTTAGGGCAAAGCTACTCGAGGATCATCTGCGCTAGCCGTTCCTAATTTTGAAGTGATAGATTAAAGGGAAGGCAGCTAGTCAACACCACCCACCGCCATTTCTTGGGCTACTCTTTTACCAACGAATACTAGGATTTACCGTTACATCATAATGCCCCCACGGTTGAAAGGGTAAGCACGTTTGGTGACGAAATTCGAACCCGTGATCCGCAGCTTGCGAGTCGAGGGCCCTAACCACCAGACCATGCCAGATCTCAAATTTAGTTGTCGCACATTTAAATCTGATCTGTGTTATATAATAAGATTTAGTTTTAGTCGTAAAATTATCTATACGTGTATTTTATGAAATTCAGCTACGACTCCTTACTCCCTCAGAAAGCAGCATTTGATAAACATAAAACAGCATTAATTTTGGCGCTGTGCCAACCATCAACGACAGCTTATAATACGTTTGGGAAATATAACTATTTAAATCTATCCTCTTAAACAACAAAAAAACCACCAGTCTTTTAACAATAAATAACCTGTTGAACACAATTTAAACATTTAGAGCTTTAGTTCATCATCTTGACATGATTAACATATTGTCTATTGTATTTTCAAATAATTCATATATCATACATTCGACATCTTTTGTTGTTATAGATAATTGTTTTGAAATGTCTTTTAGACTGCTTGGGAAGTAAGCTGTTTCAGTGTTCTGAAACTTTTATTTTTAAAATATTGTCTCTCTAAAACGTGGAACTGATTGTTTCGGATATTCGCGTTCTTAATTTTGAGCTGACAGATTAGAGGGAAGGAAGGTAGTTAATAGTAAGCTCCGCCAACTTTTGAGCTATTCTTATCTGCTCAAACAGTTGATGCTGATAACTATTCTTAAATTTTGCAACCATGGGACACGAACCACGGACCCTTGGATTCACAGTCCAGCACGCCACGCCAAGCATATATTTAAACTAATGTCTTAGGCTCAAGAAAAAGTTTAAATTATTTAGACTTATTAATTATTAGATTAGGTTTAACTAGTTATATATATATATGTGTGTGTGTGTGTATTAAGTTACAACTATAATACATATTTTCACTATTGTGCAGTTAAAATAGGGCAGTACAGATCCATCAACATCAGAACCTCCAAACTAAACTGACCAATAAACCAACAAACGTACTTACCAATCCTAATACCAAACAGGCTGTCCTCTGACATGAAGTATTCATAACAACAAAACAAAATAGACTTACCTTTCTTTTCTGTCAGTGCTTAATTTCTAGAAGAAACAAAAATATATATGGAGTCTCTTTCGGGTTGTGAGGGGGATTTTGAGTTTTGGAAGATAACAATTTAAATGTTTTTGATGCTATAATTTGTGATGGAGTTTAGAGTGGAGACAAAAGGGGGCCCCAGTTGTTAGACCCTGAAAAAGATGGTAGAAATTAAGCACTGATTACTGGGGATTTACCAAGCCAAGAACAAGCACAACCGTGCTCCCCTCCCCCGAACCTGTCGTGTTTAAACAGAATATTGCCTACCTCTAGTTCTTTACTAATCTTCTTCTTGTTATTTTGAGGTTTAGGTCACGGGGGGATGTTCCCCCAGTTCTTACTAAAGACAATATTGCCTACCTCTAATTCTTTACTAATCTTCTTCTTGTTATTTTGAGGTTTAGGTTCTAAAGGTGGCAAGGTCTTGACCAGCATCTCTGCTGCCTCCGCTAACCGCTGGATTTGAGTTTCAACAAGAACTGGTGTTAGGGAAATGGGGGAACCCGGTTGTCCGTACTCTCCTGTACCCTTGGAACAACAAAAAACATGGACTTACTGCTTGGTCAGTTCTCAGTCCACAGAACCATGGTTCTCTGCTGCAATGGCCTTAGAGTTTACACACAATGGCGAAACAGTAACACACTTATAAAAAAGGCAATAAAATACTATCATTAATATCATGGTTACGCCAACAATAGTTCATATATTTCCTATTTGGTGTATAAAGCTATTTGATGTGTTCAATATCGCCGACTAATCAAGTGAAATATGAAAGCCCTAGCCAAATCCTTATCTCTTTGGCACAAAAACGCCTTTATTAAACAACCAATAGTTCGTATGAAACAACTACCAAAAGATACATCTTAATGAGTTAATTGGCGTGGTAAGAATATACACGTATTATGATCGTATACATTCAGCCATATGTAGAATACATGGGAAATGTGCAACTAATTTAAATATATGTTTCTAACCCAAAGATACAAAAAAAAAACTTTTGTAGATTCAAATCATTTATTCTCAGTGTTAAACAATCGTATATTTCTTGTTGTCTGAAGGTGTAATGTATAAATATTCAACATGTTTATTTCCAATGTGCTGTTAATGTTTATTATTTCTATTCTTTAAATGATATCCAGATTAATTCCAGAAAGTCATAGACTTCTGTACTTTGAAGAACAAGAGGAACAGACTCGCAGTACTTCCTTTGGTCAAGCCATTGTCCTGTCTGTTTTTCCTTTAATATGAGTTTATTGTTCTTTTTCTAGCGTTTATTATTACTAGTTAGGTGTCCCTCGGTGTAACGGTGGTAAAGTTACAGAGTTACAACACTGCAATCCGGAGTTCGATCCCTCGCGGTGGACACAGCAGATAGCCCAATGTGGCTTTGGTCAACAACAACAACAACACCAGTTACGATAAAATTTGTACGTTTTGTGAAAGCTCTTCGTATAATTTTACATAAAACTGTAAAGATACGCATGTATAAGCCTATCTCATCTATATGTGATGTAAGTTTATTTAGTAAGCATAGTTGTTAATCGCATATGTAAATCTATGTTTTACTGATACATAGAAATTTCGTATGACTGAACTTTCGAATGCGTTCTATATTTGTTTGCAGTATTTGATGTTTGTTTTTTCTTGTTTCTTTCACGTTTTTGAAAAAAATGTTTCAGATCCTCCATTTCCAAATATTTTCCTTTATAATCTGACTTCTTTCCTTCCTCTTTGCAATGAAAGCTACACTTTTGATCAACATTTTTTAATGCTCGCTGTCAGATGTACACGACTGTTGTAATTTAAGTTTAGCGCGAGTGTTAAATTTAGTTATTTTCAGAGGCGATAGTTTATCGCAGGTTTGTTTACGTAACTATTTACGAATCTTACGCTGTGTGGTTCAATTGTTGCGAATTGGCGATTGTTGTATTATTGCGTCATGTTACTAGAACCTTCTAAGTTTTTCTCAAGCATTATTACATCACAATATCTCGTAGGGTATGGAAAGTTCTAGGCCTCATTTGGACTATTTATAAATACGCGTCCAAAATGTAGTTCAAGTAAGACAAAGAGAGACAGTTAGTTAGATAGATAACTAGAGCTATATTGTTTGTTTGTGAGTTTAGCCGTAATGAGCGTATAGTGGCGCTTTTTTAAAAGTGAAATTATCACAGATTGTATTGTAACAACAGAGTAGAGAAGAATAATTTGTCTTGTTAATTGTGTTCTAAAGTAATTTTAAAAAACTTTTGTGGACTTTTGACTAAAAGAGACAATTATTTAAAGCTCTGGATACAACTGTGGTAACCAATAGTGTAACGTAAGTGAAATTATCACCAATTGTATTGTAACAACAGAGCAGAGGAGAATAATTTGTCTTGTCAATTGTGTTCTAATGTAACTGAACTAGCCTGTGTGGACCTTGACGAAAAAAAGACGAACATTTGTATATACATTTGACTTGTTTTAATATATTATTTTAAAACAAGTGGACTGTGTGCTGTTTGTTTATTGTTAGAACTTATTGCCAACAAGTTACAGACACTTGCTGTAAAGAATCATGCCCATCTAAATATATGAAAAGCTGACACTCGTCAATCACTCCCCTCAATTTATCTTTTATGATTTTCGTGCCCTTTATGCATACTAGAAATAAAAAAATATATATATATATATATGTGCCCACCTTATGCACGAGAGAAACAAGAAAAAAAAAGACTACACATGAACTATCTAAATTCTATAATGGTCTGCCCCCCCCAGTGGCACAGCGGTATGTCTGCGGACTCATACCGCTAGAAACCGGGTTTCGATACCCGTGGTGGGCAGAGCACAGATAGCCCTTTGTATAGCTGTGTGCTTAATAACAAATGAACAAACACACACACATACGCTATAATGGTTTTTACGAAAATATGTAGTTATAAAATCGCGTCACCGTGTAGAGTAAAACATTTGTGTGCTTAACAAGAAATAAACAAACACACACACACGCCATAATTGTCTATACGAAAATACGTAGTTGTAACATCGCGTCACCGTGTATAGGAAAAATTTGTGTCGTGTGATCTTAAATAACTAAAGTTAATATTCGTTACGTTTTAATTAATTCACTGAATGTTTTACTTTAGTATTCTCATATACCACTCATATATTCAGGGGTTTTTCCTAGTGTGTAGTTGATCACAAATTGTGCACCTGTAATATATTTGTGCAGTTGAACATTCACTTACATAAGTAAGTTCAAGTGGATAAAAAAAAAAATTAGCATTATAAAATTCCATTCCAGGGTTGATAAATAAAAGTATTTACTAGAATATTCTTCATTTTTGGACCAATTGTTATTAGTCCTGTATATATATATATATGAGCAATAAGTCGTCATCAATTAAAAAATGATGAAGTTAAAATATAATTGTGTAGTTAAAAAAAATCCTTAGGAAAGGCTCTGTGTTCATATTTAATCGCAAATTTGCACAATGACCAATCTATACCGTGCCTACCACAGGGATCGAACCCCGAAATGTTAACATTATAAGCCCTTAAGCTTATCGGTCAGCCACTTCAGGCCCACCTGGAGGTTTTAATGTCTCTTAGTGTGGTTTGGTTTGTTTTGAATTTTGCGCAACGCTACACGAGGGCTATCTGCGCTAGCCGTCCTTAATTTAGCTAGGCAGCTAGTCATCACCACCCACCGCCAACTCTGGGGCTACTCTTTTACCAACGAATGGTTGGATTGACCGTTACATTACAAAGCTCCCACGACTGAAAGGGCGAGCATGTTTGGTGGGACGGAGATTCGAACCCGCGACCCTCAGACTGCGAGTCAAGCGCCCTAACCAATGTCTCTTAGTACGTCTTTTCCCTAGTGGTAAGTCTATGGATTTATAACGCTAAAATCAGGGCTTCGATTGCCCTCGGTGGACATAGCAGAATAGCCCGATGTGGCTTTGCTATAAGAAAAACACACACACTAGTACGTCTTGAAGAAGTAAAACATATCATAACAGTTATTCTTTCATTGTTGTTTGTTTTATTTATATTAAATTAATTTATACAAGGCTACCAAATAATTGTTTTCCATTTCTTTTGCTTGGAACGATAATAAAGCTTAATTTTTATATCTCCTATTTTAGAAGTAATATTTTATTTTATTATTGCCGCGATTTGGCGATAAAATTAGATATTTGGTTTTACCAGTGCCAAAACAACACAAAAGCCAAAATAAATAGAAACAGAAGGCGGGAGTCACTATAATTAACGTTTTTAACAAAGATCCTTAAGAGTCTTGATCAATAACACATTTTTTGTTGTTGTTGTTCGTGATATTAAACAAATATCTGCAACAACAATGCCAAGAGATCCAGGGGGAGCAATTAAAAAAAAAAGGAAAATGAAATTTGAAGTTTAAAAATGCTTCAGAGCACATGCTTGATTTCAAGTAGGAAATTATCCAGTGACGTTTCGATAGAAGAAAAAAATCCTGTCAAGTTTGATTTGTTCGAATTTCGTGCAAATTTACACGAGAGCTATCTGTGCTAGCCATCCCTAATTTAGTACTGATAGACTAGATGAAAGGCAGCTAGTCAACAACATCTACCGCCAACTCTTGGGCTACTCTTTCACCAAGGAATAGTAGAATTGACCGTCACATTATAACGTCCCCACGGCTGAAAGGGCGAGCATGTTCGGTGACGGAGATTCGAATTCGCGACCCTCAGATTGGGTCTCTAATTTTGAAATGGCAGACAAGGGGGGTAGGCAACCGATCTACAGTATCCACCACTAACTCGTGTCTGACCAGAAACTGATCAACAGTATCCACCACTAACTCTTGTCTGACCAGACAACTGATCTACAGTAGCCACCACTAACTCTTGTCTGACCAGAC